GGAAGACGCAAGTAGGTAGATTCAGTCCAGGCGATTCTGGTTCAGGCACGTTCGAGTGACTCGTGCCACGTGCAGAAACCGGTTTGGCACGATTATTAGGGACGATCGAGAGCACGAGAGTTGTGATGGTAAGGTCTTTCGAATTTTTGATGCGCGAGCGCAAGAAATCCGAAAGGGATTTCTTTTCGCGGAACTGAAAAGAAGCGGACGGCCAAGAACGACTCTTATGTCTATTTCAGCCAATATTTTAAATGACCCAACGTAGATTAATTTTACAAGAAAACCCATGGAAATGTTCCCCACCGATATTGATAAATTTTGAATATGTTATTTTCTAGAGAAAAATAAGGGGCAAGGTAATTTCTTATAAAATACGCCCAATCATACTTTTTTTTAGGGAGTATATCTCTTTGAAGAAAGAGATATCAGTGAATATCATCGAAACTGTAAGAAATATGGAAAAAAAATGTTCTAAATAAAAATTGAATGGCTAGAAAAATACTTTATAATAATTAAAAAATTTAAGATAAAAAAATTTTTATTTATAAAAAATAAAAATTAAAATAACTTTCTAAAAATTATAATTATTAAGCACTCTTGAAACTAATTTTTGTTTTAAACATTTTTTTCTATCTCTTACAATTAAATGATATTCGCTTCGAAAGACAATACCTAATCGATTTTCTTTAAATAGATGTTATTCCCCCTGAAAGTGCGATTGAGGCTTTATAAAAAAAATTCCTTACTTTTGTTTAGAAAACAACATATTTAAAGCTCAAAATCAGAGGAGGACACTTCCTTTCTTGTTAGTTTAACTTTTTATGTTTTTCTAGTTCTAAGAAAATTAGAAAAGGATAAAAAGTAAGTTAAATCGAAATTAAAGTTAATCTATATTGGTAGAAATGAACATTAAACCTTAGAAAGGAAATGTTATCTGTGTAGGAAAGTAGGGTCAATAGATTGGTCAGTGGCTTTTTCGAAGATCACTGTACGTACAGTGAGTACATGTACTTTCGCAATCGTGACGTAGACATGACACTCTTCCCGATTGGAACACCGAAGTGTCGACGGTCCTTCAATTGTATTATTAGTCATCTAAATCTAAAGTCTAAAGCTAACGATCTTACGTCTATTTCTGCCATCGACCATATTTAAGATTTCTTTACTTACTTGATTTAAAAGCATTTTATCGATTGAATTATCGCACAATGATCACACAATTAAAGAAAATTTTTTACATATAATATATTTATATATTTTTATTATATTTATATTTTAATATATTTATATATTTTTTATATGTTTTTATTTTAAAAATATATAAATATATTATCGATTTTTATTTAATTGTAAAGTATCAAAGAAAACAATAATGAGATATTTGAAAATTGGAAATAATGTTAAGATGTAACACGAGCAATTATCATTTTTAAAAACCATGTAAGAAATGTAGAATTATTTACCTATTTATCTATTAATTAATTAATTCATATATTTATTTTATAACTCTTATATGAGTGCATTATTATAACTGATGTGTGCCATTAATTAACGCATTAAAATTGGACGAAGGTATAGTGATTTTACAGGAGCTTCTTGTTAAGAAATCGATCTTTATTTCTAAATAATTGTTACACTGAGAGAAATGTTTGGTACGTACAATCAGTGATTATTCTAACCAAATTTTGATTAAAACAACACATTTTTTAATGAAAAAATAAGAAAGTTTTTATCAGTCACATATCAATAAAGAAATGATTATATGTACCAAAACATTTTTCTCAATATACATTATCACATGAAGATTGCACGATGTAGACGAAAATGTCAACAATGTTTCAATCGATCGCGACTCGAGGAAGGTTGCAATAAAAATTAATTAGCAAAGAGAAAGAATGTATAATTTACCAAACAAAGATGGATTCCTCTTTCGATGTAGACGAGTCCCCCAATGCTCCGAATTTCCTCCAAGAAGAACTTGTCAATTATCGCCAGTTGTCCTGGCGTCGATCGTTCTCGACGAGCATAGCGATTATGTAATCTTATTCGCGAACGCGCGATCGGTGGGTATTTTTTGCGATCTTCAGCCAGTCAGTCGTAAATAGTCGTGAGACGGAACGAGAGAGTCCGCGTCATTTCTCTTCTCTCTCTCGACCTTGAAACGGACGCCGAAGACATCAGCGAGACCGGAGATTAAAGCTATGTGATGATTATATTATATTTTTATACCCTCTCTGTCGTCCTCTTTCTTCTCCCCCCCCCCCCTTTCTCTTTCTTTCTTTACTTTCTTTTTTTTCTATGGGACAAATTAATTAATCGGCTGATATTTTTCTCGAGATAAACGATACAACTTGACGCAAATGCTAATCTCGTACATTGCGGCAGCAATGCACGATATATTTCGACGGCGCTTTAACGGCGCTGATAGTATATTATTTTCGTTTCTGTTCTTAAATAATACGCATACGCTTCTCGAGAGATTACAGAGATGCGCGATTTACAAAATTATGCATCGTGAAAATGTGTGATTTTTCTTAAAAATCGTAGTGAATGTAATATATAGCATCACGATTTTTATCATGATTATAATTTTGAATTGTGCGTAATTTTATATTATAAATGCAATTTTGAAGCGTGTTATTTTTATATAATAAACACGATATTTTGAATTACATGTATTTTAAATTTTATGTTAAAATAATCAAAATGTGTAATAAAATTCTCAAAAAATGCTTTAAAAAAAGATAAACAGCATATACTCAATTATATAAAAATTATTTATCGAACTCTTACTTCTTTAACGTTAAAAAATGTATATCTATATAGAATAATATACAGTAAGGGCAAAAGTATTCGTACAAGAAAATTTTTTTATAAAAAAAATTTTATTTGTAAAAAATAAACATTAATTAGCAATTTTATACAATAAATACATTTTATTCTAATATAACTAAACAAGCTTCGCATGTATTCCTAATTTTAGAAGCTAAATTTCTCGAATTCTGTACGAATACTTTTTGAGCATCCAAACAACAGAATTTTTAATTTTTCCTTATTTTTCAGATGATGTACTTTCTATACTATATAATTAATACACATTTTTTTGATATATATATATATATATATATATATATATATAATTTTAAGAAACATATATAGTCTATTATATTTTTTATGAATAAACTGTTCATTACCCAGAAATGATCGTCAATTAAACGTCAAATCGACGTCAAATTGGTATTGAAATCATTGTATTGATATCGATTCGATATCAGTTCGATGACTCACTTCTCGCTGGATAATATTTATTTTTTAAAAATAAAATTTTTTTAAAAAATATTTTCTCTGTACAAATATTTTTTGTACTCATTGTATATAACATAAAGAATATGTAAAATATCATATTAATAATAGAATAATTAGGAACATGATTAAAATTTATTTGGCATAGGAAACGAAAGATATACATTTATTGCCAAAAATATTAGTTGAGCTCACAGACTTGTATATAGAAGTCTATAGGTTAAACTGCATGCTGCTCTTAAACGCGTACACTTTTCTGTCATCACTTTTTTGCCTTTGCTAACAACTCGTTTGAATGTTAATAATTAGAAACAAGTGTGCCTCATGCATTTAAATCATTTGAGATAAAAATAATTTTCATTTTATCATTGTATACAGTGAGTGCAAAAAATATTTGTACAGGGAGATATCTTAAAAAAAAAACTGTTGTGTTAAAAAACATATTAATTAGCAATGTATTAACAAAGAATGAAATAAACTGTATATTTCTCAAAATTATCTAAGAAGTATAATAATTAAAATATAATATCTTAAAAATAAGTGAAAATGAAAAATAGTATTATATATTTGAACGTTCAAAAAATATTTATACCAGAGAAATTTAATTTCTGATTAGATCGTAAGATCGGAAACACATAAAGTGCTTTTGTTTATATTAGGACAAAATGTCATATAACATTGTTAATTGATGTTTATATCCTACAAATAAAGCTTTTTTATTAAAATTTCTTTTGTATGAATATTTTTTTGCATTCACTATAAATACTTCATTACAAGTGCGATTAAATGATAAAAAATCTAATCGCATATCGTACTGCAATACAAAAAGAATCGGTGCTAACAATATATCGCAAAATCGTACATCTCCTTGATAGTTGGATATTAAAGACAGAACATAAATAATCCATGCATAAGTAAAATTGGTCGATAAAAATAAGAGAAATAGAACGCGAAGATGGCCAACCTCTATCTCTTTTTATTCAATCAATTACAGTACGTCAGAAAGTAAAAAAGATTGGTCATCTATACGCTTCCCCTCTCTCTTATTATTTATTGACTATAAACAATAAGATTGGAAACAAGACCGTTAATGTTAAATACATTACTTAAAATACGAAGCGCCACTATGGTCTGAATGTTAAGATGTTGAACTATTATACATATTCATATCAATGAATTAATTTCAGAAATGATAATTGCATGCCGATATAGTTTTATCGGACTTTCAACGCAATCAATCTGAAATATTAATAATCCCCCCAAACTTAAAAAACTGTAATAAATTTTGTTGACTATATTTGATACACCATTCATTCTTACATTTGAGAGTGTCTTAAATATAGTCTTAAGATGTCATAAGCCAATAATTAGGGTTGTATTAGTATCTTAAGACGTTACTTAAGACAGTTTTAAAATAAGAACGGTCTATGAATATCGCCCTTAGATACGAATGGCGCAGTCCATGCTCTATGTCTTGATTGAATACCCACTATATATGTGCACACCGTTGCGTTGGCACCATCGCGTGTTTACACGAGGAAGTGCGCGTCGAGCTCCAAAACGATAAACAAAGTTCGGCAAACTGGCAATAACAACTAGTAGTGTTACTCCAACCGCCCTCATGTCAGTTTCATTGTCTAACGTAGGGTTACGTAACGGTGACGCCATCCCCGGGCTCTTTGGGCGCCGCGCTTTGGGAGGCGCGTTTTGCGAATTCGACGCAGTTCGGGGTCACATTCGTCCCTACCTCTGGTGTTCGTTTCTATAATAAAGCCATGCGCGTCCGCTCATCGATCAAGAGATTACTTTTCATCGTCGAAATTATATTATCAAATAACGTTTTAATGGAATGTTAAAATGTTTAAATTTAAATTTGAGCAAAAAAAAATGAGGAAAGAAATTTGAGAGCGAAATGTCGCTTGTGTCAAAAGAGATCTAGATCGCAGATGGAAGGTTAAAATTCTAAATTATAAATTATAAAATTTCTTCTCCCTTTTAAAGATTAGTAATTTTGCCGCCGCGTGGGCGAATACGCGTGGTTGTGACGTACTGTCGATGTATTGTTGAACTTGAGAAAACGTTTCCGGACCGGACGAATCGAACAGACAGACGGAACGATTCCACAGGAAAACGAATATATATAATCCTTCATCTGCAACTAGAGTTTTTTTTAGCACAAGCGGAAAGATTGTAAATCATATTTAGAGATGAAAATGACCAAATTTTACGATAAATTACTCGGTAATTTACGGTAAATTAGTCAATAATTTATGGAGGCTGGTAAAATGGTAATTTAAAAAAATTATAAAAATAAAGTAATTTGATTTAAGAGTATTTAAATTAAGTTAAAAAAGTTGAAAAACAACTTTATTTAATATATATCGATAGAATAATTAAGAAACCATATAGATACGTAGTCACTAGAAAAACTTCAAATAAATTTTTTATTAAAATTTTTAAAACAAAAAGTGTGACAAGTACAGTAGTCTTTAAAAGTTAAGAAGTTAATTATATTTTTCATATTTTCTAAACTTACCCTACGTAGTAAGTAGTAAGCAAAACTTTAAATAAATTTTTTAATTTTGAAAATAAAAAGTGTGACAGATACATAATTTTATATTACTTTATGGAGGCTGGTAAAATGGTAATTTAAAAAAATTATAAAAATAAAGTAATTTGATTTAAGAGTATTTAAATTAAGTTAAAAAAGTTGAAAAACAACTTTATTTAATATATATCGATAGAATAATTAAGAAACCATATAGATACGTAGTCACTAGAAAAACTTCAAATAAATTTTTTATTAAAATTTTTAAAACAAAAAGTGTGACAAGTACAGTAGTCTTTAAAAGTTAAGAAGTTAATTATATTTTTCATATTTTCTAAACTTACCCTACGTAGTAAGTAGTAAGCAAAACTTTAAATAAATTTTTTAATTTTGAAAATAAAAAGTGTGACAGATACATAATTTTATATTACATTTTTCATACCTTATAAACTTATTATAATATTTTTATTTGCTTGCTATTTTATTTTTTAGCAACTGTCATATTTTTACTAGAAACAAAAATAATATAATCACATAATCATATAATCAAACAAAAATATATTAATTATATTTATATTAATTGATTTAGTGAGCTTTGTTCCGATTAAATTATACCCTACTGAAAAAGATTACGTAATTTGAAAAATCACAAGATATTAAAAATAATTTTATCTATCATATGACTTTAATTTTATAGTTATTAAATTTTAAATTTTAAATAAATTAAATAATTAATTAATTAAATAATAGAAATAGAAGAAAAAAATATATATCATCTAATTTTAAAATTTTATACATAAGAACGAAAATACATTCTATTTGTGCATAAAATTATAACAAACAAATTTTATCAAAATTACCATAAATTACAATAAATTACCATTTTACCGCAATTTTACCGTAAGTAACTGTAAGATTGAATTTTACGGTATTTTTGCATCTCTAATCATATTAATCACATAAAAGATATACTATTAGGTGTTGGAATTAATTCGTAGCGTTTTACAAGTGATGGGAAGTACTTTCATTAATGTATTTTTTAATGCTCATGTGAAATAAATAACATTCTTTCATTAAAAAACGCTACGAATTAATTCCAACACCTAATATATACAATATGCAAAATATTTGTAAAATATAATTTTTAAAGCAACTGATGACTAGATGCGATCTATTTGACATTATAAATGTTTCGAATTTGATTAACCAATCGGAAGAAAAGAATTTTACTAACTGACTAAACAAAAAACGCTTCGAACCATTTATAGTAACAAGTGGATCGTAGTCTATGTGTCTTTACACCAATTGATTCATCTCATTGTTCTGTGCATAAAAGTATTAATTAAGATACAGTTATCAAAAAATAAATAGGTTAGCAGATAAAGGTGTTTTCTAGTTAGTTCGATTTAAGTCAAAGTAGCAACTTTCAAATAGTGCTGTCGCAAAATCTATCCATTTTTTATTGGTTTACCTAAGAAAATTTTTAATTAGCATTGCATAATTTACAAAATCACAGTTTCATACTTCGGTTCAATTTGACTGAAGTCACGTTTTCTATATTTATGTGGAGTCTTCTCATTTTCAAATTCCTTCCACATATCAGACTAGGCATTATAGGATTGAATTTTTATATGAATTTGAAAAATTAAAATAGAGTTCACTAAGCTTGATAATGGTTTTTTTCTTCTGATTGATTAAATTTCAACTCCAATTCTAGGATGTATAGTCTGATATCGGCTTTATAATCAGCGGGGCGCGCCATGTTGGTCTCTCTTCTATTATAAAAGAAAGCAGCGGATTTTCAGGACGACGTAGATTAACGAAGATCATAAACATGACAATAGTAGAAAAGGAGCAGAGAGAGAGAGAGAGAGAGAGAGAGAGAGAGAGAGAGAGAGAGAGAGAAGAGGGGAAATGAAAAGAAAGAAAGGCTTCTGAGTTATTGAATCATTAATGTCGATTGCATAACAATACACGCTGTTCGTTGGTTAAATTGGCGTGATGCCGATCCTGCTTTACTGGTAACAAGTCGCCGTGATCGCAACGTATCATGCGTATACACGCGTAGACACGAGATAGACACTTGTGCAAAGAAGAAAAAAAGAGAATAGAACAGGACATGGAAAGAATGAGCGAGTTGAAGCCAGTAAAGAGACTAGGCATGTTTGCCGAGTAAATGAGCATGATTGGTTCTAACTTATGGATCCAATCATATTTAATTATTGCTCGGCGAGCTGCTATGTTGACTTAATCGTATCCACTGATTTTGTTCTTGAAGGTACTTAAAAATGTAAATAAATACAAATCTAAAAATAATTATGTATATTAGATCATCAAAATACATGAAACTCAAACATGATGAGTAAAAGATTTGGACTTTTTAGCGACTAGCTTGAGCTACAATAATTATTTTGATAGTCCAATAAAATTATTTTTAGATCTGTTTTTATATTTGTTTTTAAATATCATACTTCAATAAAAAACTGTCCTTTCTATGAACCCAATTGTTATTTATGTACTCTACTATGACCTCCCTTCGGTAACTCTTAATGATAGTGTCAGTGTCATTATCGTTACGACATGCAGGTTTTATAAACGATAAGAAAAACTGCACAATGACAATATAAGAACATCGTTAAGACTATAAGTTTTTCATTTTCTGATTAATTATGGTTAGGCTTAACCTGATGATAATATAAAAATTGTATTTTTCTAGTTATCGACAATCACTAAACTGATTTTGTAGTAACTTTCAAAATTATCACTAGAAAACTATTGGTTTAATGATTAATCGTAGCTGAAAGAACACAATTTTTACATCATCAAGCAATAAGTTAATCTGAACTACAATTAAATTTAATCAGATAATGGAATGGGCTTAAAAATTAGGGGTTTATGTATCTTCAAGTGTTAAAGCATGATACATAATTAAATTATAGCATTATTATAAATAATCAGATATGTGACAGAAGTATTTTTTAAGTGAGAAACAAATAAGTAATTAAAAGAATAATATTCGGATACATTTGTGCAGTTCTCCAATTATGATATAAAAAGACCAAGTCTAACATTACGCATAATGACAGCTATAATGAGGCAAGTTTCTAATAGCGGCCTTATATTAACTTATAAAATGCCAATTCTGATTGGTCACAAATGTCATTACTTCGCGAATGACTGTACATCCTTGAAATTGGTTCACCTGGTCTTCTTATATCATGGTTCTAACTAGAGTTGTACAGAGAGAGGGAAGGAAGGAGATAGGGAGGGAAGGAAGAAGGAAAGGAGAGGGGGAGAGGAAGGGGGAGAGTGCGACGCGGCGAGAGGCTAGTTTCGAATTCTCGGCAAACTTCACGCCGGTGCCGGTGTCTGCTCGATGTAAACACAAAGTCCTCAAGTCTACGCAACCGTAATTAATATACAATATATATATATATATAGAGAGAGAGAGAGAGCGCCGGAAGATCAATGTATATATACATTATTCCGTATTCATGACATTTATGCGCGCGCCGCTCCGGCATGCTCCGCACTCGACTATCTTCTCACCTCCTCCCCGAATCACTCGTTCATTTCTAATACGCGTCCCTCGCCGTTCCGAATGATCTCGACTTGCCGAGGCTGCGCGATACGCGTCGGCCTGTGGCGTACGTGACCGGAGAACGGCCTGCGCGCGCATCCCAACGCCGAAAACAAGCGGTGGAACATGAGCCAGCGTCGCTCATGTCCTTGTCTTAACAATTTCGGCCACGTGAGGGACAAGGGCTAACGTAAACACGCCGAATGGGCCGACTGTCCTCCTCACGAAGGAGAGAAGAGTCGAACGCCTTGCTCACTTTTTTTTTTCTTTTTTTTCTTTTCAGGAGTTGGACGCGCGCAGGGGTTACGGCGTAGAAAACTCTGGCGCTCCCGTATTATTACGCGCAAAATGGCGAAGCCGGCGAGTTGGAGCGAGCGAAGCGACGCCAGCGATTCTCACTCGTGCGCATCTTCGTGTTGTCAATGCCGAGACAATTCACGCGCGCGCGCGCGCGCGCGCAGTTTCGAAGCTTCGCGAAGCGGAGGTATAGCTAGATATCGTATTCCGGTAGCTGTCGCGTCGTTTCGCGTCGGACAGATACGAGTATGATTTACGTAGCATATTGGAACTCGTGTGGTAAAAGTAAAATCAATGCACGAGAGCAAACATCGGTTTCCCAGGACGGATTTCCTAGGAATGATTTCCTAAAAACGTTCAGAGAATATTCTTAGAATATCTCTCAAATAAAGGGTGTTGTATGGGTAGGTTCCTTCTCTCCTTCCCCCCCCCTCCCTCCTCACTGCGTGACACCTGCTGCGTGAATCCCATTCCAAAGCAAAAATACAAGTCCCGATAAGTTGAAATGTTAAGGATTCGGCTATGTAATATCAGTCTCAAAAAATCAACTATAAAAAAAAACAGAAATAATTTGATCTATAATGACTTCATGCAGCGAAATGATTATATTTTGCTGCAACTTCAGGTAAATAACTTTTAAACGAATAAACGGATTCAAACGTATTGTATTTCTACACGAATGTTTATTGAAGTTTTATTAATTTGATTCTCATGAATTCTCATAATGCTACGAACTTATCAAGCAAGTAACTACTACAAAACGCGATTTTGTATAAAAAAAAAATTGAGGTTAACCAAAAATTAAATAACTTTTGAATTATTAAGAGTATTGGTTAAAATTTTATACAGATACTCGGGTATAATAATGGAACAATCTATGAATTTTTTTATTTTTAGTATAATATTTTGTGACGCTATATATTTTTAAAATAAAATTCTACAGATCATTCCAGCAATATTACATTGATATTGCAAACGTCACACTAATTTCTATGCTGTGTCGTAATTAAATGAAAAGTGACTTAAGCCTGATTGCACGTTACTTGGCTTTAAGTAAGACTTAAACATCTGTCTTTATCTTTCTTTCTAAATAAATAAAGACAGATGTATATTTAAGTCTCTTAGTCCCAGTTGCGCCAATGTTACTTTGACTTTAAGCAAGGCTTAAAACTCTGTCTCTGTTTCTCTTTCGCTTTAAAATGAGACAGAGTTTTAAGCCTCGCTTAAAGTCACGATGATGTTAATCATAGATTGGACCTTCATAATTATTTTAGAGCTATTTTGATGTCATCTTGAGATAATGATGACTCGTGTTTTGCTTATTGATATTCGGTACAGTACATAATTAATAATAAAATAATGAATAGAAAATAACAATATCAATTTTTTAAAGTTCAAAATTGCTAAGCAATATAATGAGAGGTCAGAAACGAGCTAATAATTAGGTTAATGAGAAAATCTAGTTTACTAAACAAAGAAAGATAGGATTAAAACTAGTTTTTCAACAATAATAAGTCAATGTAAAACTGTAATCATCCTAGTTATCGCGCGATTAGCGATTGACGATTACTTTTGCACCAATCAGAGCAAAACAGTTGCTCCGAACGTCTTTCGACTAAACTCAGTCTTTCTAAATCGAATTAATAAATTACAATAGAGAATAAATTAAGAAAACAGAAAACTGAGACACATAAATACCGTAATAAATAAACATTGGAAGGGCACAGAAATAAAATATAAATACCTAATCGTATTCCAAGCTACTCGCGTCGCCGAGGCGAACGTCACTGAAAGAGGAGAGGAGGGGAAACGAAAAAGAAGTAACGCGCAAAACAGTCGCGAGCAGCTGCTCTGGCGGACGTTCGTCAAGATAGAAAAAAAAAATCAAAAAAAAAAAATCGTGCGATCCTCGCGTGACGTACGTGGCGGTAGCGTGAAATGTCACCATATTCTTTCGTGATTTCGGAAGAAATATTCGCGAAGAAGTTGCGTCGCGGGCCTCACGCCAAGAAACCTCGCGGTTTGCGTCATTCTGCGGCGGAGCCGTTGTCTGAGAACCACGTTGCCTACGTGACTCGCAGGGCGTCGACGGAGCCTCGTGATTCGCCGGCGGATGGTGGCGAGAGAGAGAGAGAGAGAGAGAGAAAGAGAGAAGGAGGGAGAAGGAGAAAGAGAGAGAGAGAATCCACGCTATCCGCGGTGGGCGGTGAGACGGGTGGCGGAGTGTTAGTAAGCAGGAGCCGGCCATCTTGTCGAGCTCAGTCGGAAACCAACTGCCGAGCAGTGAGGGACGGTGATGTGGAAGAGAGGCCAGATGTGTTAGACGAGGGGTTTTTAATGCGCTTCCGAGCCCGATTGCCGCTACGTGCGAGAGGCTGTGCGATAGCGACGACGGAGCCACGACGACCATCGCGGGGCTTTCGCGAGCGAAAAGGCCCGGTACATCCGGTTAAAAACCTTCAGCTGGGCGGGAGCTGCGGAGGAGCGGAGAGAGGCGGAGGAAGCGGCGGCGGCGGCGGCGGCGGAGGAAGAGGAGGAGGAAGAGGAGGAAGAGGAGGAGGCAGCGGCAGCGAAGAGCAGGTCGCGGAGAAGGTTCTGGCGAGAGGCTGACACCGAGCTTAGCTTCTCATCAGCGGAAGGGCTTGGCCTGCTCGGTTGCGAGAAAAGGAAGACACACCGGCGAACAAGATCGACGCCGAGGGCGAGAGACAAAGAGAGAGAGAGAGAGAGACAGAGAGAAAGAGTGAGAGCAGAGGATGACCGACCGAGAGAAAGTGCGGTGTCAAAGTCTGTGATAGTATTTATTGAAAAAAACAACAACATCGTTATCAGTAGCAGCACCTGTGGACGTGTCATCTTCGTGAAAAAAAGAGGACGAGCAATTGCGGAGGAGATATATATATATATATACATTAGCGAGAGAGAGAGAGAGAGAGAGAGAGATAGAGGGATAGGCTTTATATATTTATTTACATCTGTGATATCGACGCTGATATACATCAACCTTCTTCGCGAAAAAAAGGAATCGAAGAGGAGCGAAAGAGAGAGAGGGAGAGAGCGAGAGGCGAGTGACGTGAGATTGAGAGAGAGAGAGAGAGAGAGTGAGTGAAAGAGAGAGAGAGAGAGAGAGAGAGAGAGAGAGAAATATCGCTCCGAAGAAAGATTATATCAGTTTCTTAGTGGATAGGGTTTTTTGTATATACGACTGACTCTTTTTTATAATTATTACTATCGGTGCGAGGAGCGGAGAACACGCGCTCGAACAAGATCTCTCGACAGTGGTGAACCAGAAAATTCTCCGGTCTTTCCCGAACGATCGTTTCGCAAAGGCGACGAGAGTACGCGAGAGAGGAAACATGGTGGAGAAGATTCTGGAGGAACGAGAAGACGGCACTCAAGAGGCCGGACGAGGTGAGTAAAATTCCACTTCCATGTCTTCATAATAAACGAACTTAGAGAAACAGAGAACTTCGAACAGAAATTTCAAATTTTGCTGGAGTATTCTAAATTGATCGAAATACACAATTTTTTTTGGCTTGTTTGAGGTTTAATCGAGCGTTTGTTTCTGGTCTCTGTCAACATTTCCAATGAAAAAAATTCCGCCAGAAAAAAGGATTTCCTGATTCTTCGAGGAATCAGGAGCTTTGTTCTTGAAAAATATTGCATACAAAAATACTATAGTAATGTTTGTAGGCTGGTTTCTTTCTGAAAGATGCGTGTGCCATTCTATGGTTTTGTCTTCAAATTTGTCGCGTTACATGAAATCTACAAACTTTTTTTTAGCAAGAGAGAGAGAGAGAGAAAGAGAGAGGGAGGGAGGAAGAGCGAGCGAAGTGCTGATTGCAAAAAGTGCAAGCAACAGACCTTTCATAAATCATTGAATGCCAAAGATGTTTGTATTGACTGTCTCCTAAAATCCGCGTCGTATTACGAATTTGGATTTCGAGAAATTGTGAATTGAAGATTACAATTTAGCCAATCAGAATGAAGTTGATCAAAATGAAAATTTTCTGGTCGGAATTATAATCCCTAATTCTCGCAACTTTCAGTCTTCAATTTGTATTATAAGACAAAATCGAAACGAAAGCAGTCAGAATATATTATTGATAATATATTATAGATTTACGCGATACAAATTCAAGAATATTAGGCCCTGTGATTCGAGGAATCACGACAGCCAGTCACGGCCGTCATGGGACTGTCTTGCCATGTATTGATATACTATATTGATATTTGTTTTTACGAACCGGCTAACTTCTCAGAGTCGGCGGCCGGCGCGGCGGCCATTTTTGCCGGTCGATGTGTAATATAACGACCTGGTAACGGGTGAACGCCGGGGCGAACGTTCTTTCGCAATTTGCGTTTTCACCGTTGTCGCGAAGCGAGGTGGAAACGGCAGGGTGGAAACGGCGGGGTGGAGAGAGAGAGCAAGAGAGAGAGAGAGAGAGAGAGAGGCGAACGAAGGAAAGGAACGATTGAGAGGCGGGTTTGAATGCTCTAGTCGTTGACAGGAAGAGGGAAATCCTGACGAGAATGCGACGAAACGCTCGCTCGTTCAGCGATTTGCTTTTCGTCGCGGAAAATCCGCGTTGCGAATACGGAATGATACGGGGATCGACCGCGGAAGGGGCGAACGGAAAGAGAGAACTTTCTCGAACCGGCGCGACGGCACGTCATACAGTCGTGAGTCGCCTATCGCGCGTCGGCTGGTTAATTGAACACGGCCATTTATGCCCGTTCCTTGCACACAGAAAAGTACATACCGTACGCAAGTAATAATTATGGTAAATTCTGTCACTCATGCTGTACTGTGTTATATTGATACGTTTAAAAGCTGCTTTATATCAAGTCAGATAAAAATCATGTTTTAAATTGTTTAAAACAGGCTTAATCGACCTTATTTTTAACACGTCTCTTTTTTTGTAATGTTTAAAGCATATGTGAAACGTTAAAAATATATTTAAAAAAACTCAATATTTAAGTCAAACGTATTATATTTTTAAATACATTTAAAAAAAAAATAAAAATGAATTAAATTAGTTTACTCAAATGAATAATTTTTTTCTTTGTGTAGTCTTTATCTTTTTCTGATTCTTACGGCTAGAAAAAAACAAGACCGAGATTAAAGTTAATCTATATTGAAAGAAATTAATAAGCAGGAATTTGACGCGTTTTCTATATTTGTGAAGATAATACAAAAAGTTTAGTGGCGATAAAATTTTGATAAGAAATTGTTTCAACAAAAAATGGACGCGTTTTTAAAAAGTAATTATGGTGAAATTAGAAATTTTTATTCAAATTATAAAATTGTATTGTTAAATACAAATAATTGATCTACTATTTAAATTGCATATAAAGCATTAAAAACAATTTAAAAAATTAAAAAAAAACATTGTTTTATTTTTAAAAAAGAATATTCTCCCTGTCCTCTGTATGTAACGTGTAATTTTACACAGAAAGTATGAATTTCCAATTCCAGTGTTTTCCGCTTTTTTTTTTGCAGATACTCTACATCTGATACAATCTTAATACTGGAAGGTAATAATTAGACCACTTATTTTGAGTATCAAAAGTACTGTATAGTGCTTTTAATATTCAAAATAAATAATTAATCACTACTTTTCAGTACTAAATTGGTCGGTATCTGATACATGTAAGAGCGTTAATTTCGCGTTAATTTTCAGATAATGATAATAACGAGCGACGCGTTTACCGATTTTCTCGCTGACGGAATTCCGATTCGTACAACGTTTACGAGAACGGGTTTCGTCACGCCGCGTGGAAATGTGGAATCGCGACGTGCAAACGGGCTTCTCTGCCGAGGCGCTTATCGACGAGCATTATCGGTGCGCGTACATCGATTTTTTTCCTGTTACGCCATCGTGGTGTCGTCTCCGCATTCTACGCGTTTCGACGCGACTGTCACGTTCAACTTTTGGCTGTTTAGGAAATGCGACAAACCGAGTAAATTCCTGGTTCACTTCGTTTACGCGTGTCGCGACAAACGGTTTATTCCAATACACGTTCGCTTCTGTTTACGTGTACACTTTTCCGTGGGTTTTTCTACTCCTTCGGCCGGTTGTTAATCGAGCTAGCTGGTCGCTAATTATACCATGCCGTGTCTTCGTTATCTCTAAAAGCGGAAACCTGGAAGAATAGTCGAGGTCTGGATGGCGCCGCGTCGAAAATTATGCAATGCATCAGCGGGCATAATAAAGTAAAAACAGAGACGTGCAGTTAGCGTCCAAAATAACAGGATGACGAAACAAATGCGTTTCGCATAATCATCTCCCGCTCGACAACCTTCTAGCTCCACCTCGTTGTCCGTTCATTGACACAGTCAGTCCGTTAACACTATAGAAAGCGAGCGGTCATTACTGACCGTTTCTATTTTTTTAGATTAATATTAGATGAATAGGGGATTCTAACATTTTTGTCGATATTTCAATTCTCGATAATTTCTTTTATTATATTTTACTCTTTTATTATATTTACTGATGAAATATTTGGTTTTTCGTCATTTCCTTTATTTTTATAGCAATTCGCTTCGTCCTTTTCGACTCAGTTTTGTATTTTGTGGTAAACTTGTGGTTAGACTTGATTGGTGATAATATAAAAATAGATTTAATTTGATAATAATATAAAATTGTATTTTTTTCCAGCTACAGTTACGTCGTTACTAACTGAATTTTAATTTTTAAAGTTACCATTATGAAACCATAATTTAGTAATTAATGATTGTCAGAACGTAGTTTTTATTATTAAGTCACGTAAGATTAAATCTAAACTGCAGGTTAATACTAGAAAAAGCTACAAATTAGTACCAGAAAATGAAAAACCAGGCCTAAATGAATAAGAAATGTTGATATTTTCAATATTAACGGTGCACTCGCGTATTATTTATAATATATAACAGTACAGATATAAAATCTAGTAATTGTAATCATCTGCAATTTCTCCTTACACAAGTGAAGAAGGAAAAAAAAAAGTTTCTAGCTGCGATTGATTATGATAGTTTTGTAACAATTTTTAATAATAATTTTTAATAAAGTTATCACTATAAGTAACTTTCAAAGTTACCACTCACTAAAAACCGTCAGTTTAACGATTAATTATAGCAGAAAACATCATTTTTACTTCTAGTATTAATGGTACACGCGCATATATATGTAACAGTACATATATAAAGTCCAGTAATTATAGTCGCATCCGCAATTTTTCCTTATTAAAGCGGAAAAGGATGAAAGGCGAGGAAATAAGAGATCGATGTCTGTATAAATATACGAGATCGTCGAATTCTTTACTTCTGTCCACGCTGCGAAAGTTATTTCGCCTCGTTCGCGGATCGAATCACGCCAACGCCCGCTAATCTCGTTTGACGAGACGTCTCTTCGAGACGATTTTGCGCCAATATCTTTCGAATTTCGAAGAAATAATATTTTTGGAGCTAAATAAACTCCGCGCACGAGTGAACATTTTGCAACGTCGCTTCGAAACGGCGCATCGCGTCGCGTCATGTCGCGTCGCGTCGTTGGCACGGCGAATTATTTTTTGGACGGAGATAGAGGAGGGCAGGGGAGAGGGGGACAAGTGGGTTAGTCGGTATATGAGGTTTCGAGAGGGGGTCTTGGGATTTCTCGGCACCGCACCGGCGCGGCGGTTCGTGACGCGAAGGGAGAACGCGAGTCGGTTATAGGGCGACCCAAACAAAGAACGAAGGGAGGAAGGGTCCCGGGCTGCGCATGTCAACTCGACGCGTCCTTAAAGGGAAACACGCGCGATACGTGGAACAAAAGAGTCGACGGTTTACGTATCGTGTTTTATACGAGTGTACTGGCCGTTCGATCGCGCGAGCTGAGCAACGGAGAACTCGGCGAGAAAGCGAGTACGAGCGAGTACGACATTCGGCCGATGAATAAAAAGAGACACCGAGGCTATATATATATATATATATATATACACGATACGTGCGTTATCGCGTCTTCTGCAAAGGAACCGGACGAATAAAGGAATAAAGGAATACGCGATGAGTAGGAGAGACAAAGCCACCAGGCGACGCGAGCGGCCCAAATATACTCGATGACGCCGCGGACAAAAGCGCGACAAGTGTAACTACGATTTTAACGAATTTATTTTACCCCACGCGAAATGGAAATGTCGAGGACAAATGTCTACGTTGGTGTTTTTTTTTTCTCTCTCTCGGATTCCTCCTTTTATTCGATATCAAATCGGACGAATTTCGTGAGCAATCACGGAAAGAATACACTGATAAAAATTTTGATAATAAATGAGTTTAGATGATAGTTACTAAAGCTCTGTGAAGTGAAATAATTTTAATTAAATGTTTGGTTAATTTTATTGAAATACCTAACAAAATTTAAATCTTATTTATATGAAAAATATCTCAAAAA